GAAGAAATAATTTTTCTCCATTTTCTGATATCGTCATCATTATCACGATCCAAGTATTGTTTTGAACAATCGTTCACTTATTTTTCATATTCATAACTTATGACAAGGCCATAAAGCGGTCAAGTCTTTCTGTAATATTCCATCGATTTTGCCCACTAGTTGGTGTCTTCTGCTCAGAGGGTAGGCTGTGCGATGTAACAATTTCTCCTTTCATTTTTTAGAAATTGCGCTGGATGATGGCTCACGGTCCCTGCGTCCAAACGAACGTAAGCTGAGATAAACTTTTTCGCTCAGGCATGAGAACTGAAATTAAGACCAGGTTTAAGCATCAAGGTGTTTGTCCGTGTGTATGGGCATGCCTGTCAACTCCTTTTTATTCCTGATTTAGAGCTGTAAACAAATGAGGGCAAATTTTTTACATTATGTCATGCCGTATAACAGCGTTATCATTAAGATGACATGTGATAAAAAAAATTTTATTAGCTAAATAGAAAAAACACCAGTGTTGTGTGCTTCGACGCTTATAACGTATTGCATTCACGGATTTAACAGTGTGACATTGAAACCGCGATATAAACGTCATTTTTGCTAGAACACTGATAAATGTTCGACTCACTCCTAGAAGCACGTCTTTGTCGCAGCCGCTAAATTTGCGTGGTAGCCCAACATAGGAGGATGACTGATTGGACTGGTCAAAGGTAGCACTATTCATTGCATTCGTTTAAGCGGCTGATCAAAATTAACGATGATTTCATGAAGAAACACAAAGCAAGAGAAGTCCAGTCAGAATAGTTTCAATTCTGACAATCACAATCTATAAACATGCTACATGCCCAACCAATGCTGAGGCAAAAACTGCTACAGTATGCCCATTAAGAAAGAAACACAAACCTGTGAGTTTAAATTTTGACTTATTATTATATGAGGTTTGCTCAGGTTTAGAATAGTAGCACCGAAGAGATGAGGAAACACATTAGCATACGTTGCACTTTATAAGAGAACGATGGCTCCAAAATTTCTACAGCGATGAGATACAGCAAATGAAAACCTATTTGAGGCTGAAACCAAGTAGAAGGAAAACGAGAAGATTAACAAGAAGAAGGTTTGAATTTTCGATAAATTGCATACAACGAATAAGTGCTTATCTTGAATCATGCTTGTACTCAAATGCCACGTAGCCGAGATCCTACATGTTCCTCCAAACTTTTAGTGACAAGGGAACAATACAACAATGTCGTATAATTAGAGTAACGGCATGTTTATCGTTTCTTACTACAGTATTACTATACACCAAGGATTGTTTCTGAATATCAAGTATTTTGAAACGACAGAGCGATAAGCAAAACAAAAACATATGGATGGTGAATAAAATACAGACGAGGAATAATAAACCGTATTTGCTCATATGGCGATCTACTGACGTAGTTGTGGCCCAGCACTTGAAGGGGATGGGCAATGGAACTTTGTCATCGCTTTTTTAGAGTAGCACCTGAAACACTGTGAGCTTTGCGGCTGCGAAAAGTTACGGGAAAACTTAGAATGTTGAATCTTCTCTGAAGTTGGATTAGGCAACTCCAGCAGACAGCAAAAGGCATGTGAAAAGACTTTCGCACCAACGATTAGACGAACGCAAGAAGTCTGTTTGAGCAACGTGGTGAGGGATTGCACAAGACAAGCTTTTGTGGATCTCTTGATAAAACAGCATTCAGAAGTGGCCTTAGTATGATGCTTTGTGCTTAGGAGGTACATCAAGTGATTGAGAAAAGAAAAGAATATAAGCTTCTTCCCTGCCCGCGGTCGGCTTTCGACTCAGTCTACATCCGATCTGTACTGGACTCGTTAAGGAGCCAGCGAATCGAGAAATGATACAGAGACTTCATAGCCACTTACAATAGCGCAACTACTAGTCCAAAGTTTCACGAAGGCGCAAGTGAATTCAAAGTCGAAAAGAGAGCCCCACAGCGCACTTCACGAATAACGGGAAACTGAAAATTAACTGACATTACTGCTGAACCACTTGCAGTTTGCGGACGATATCTTGATCATCTGAAGGTCACCGAATAAACTCCAAAGAAGAATCTAACAGCTGAACGACGCCAACATCAAGGCAGAACTGAAAGGACACCTGGAAGAAATTCAGCTCACGTTTAAGAAATACGTTAACCTGTGGTCGGTTGAAGTAAATAGCAGGGCTTTTGAAGAAGAAATTGACGTAAACTGCAGAAAACGCAACCTAGCATAGAAAAGTGTATGTTGGGAATAGCACAAAAAAGAATAAGACGAATGAATTGGTAAGGGCACAAAAAAGTCTGCAATGCCATTGTCCGGTTAGGTTAAATGGTCAAGATATGTCGAAAGGCGAACTGAACATCGCTTAACAGTATGTAGGATCCAAGAGAGCGTAAGTGGCCCGTAGGAAGATACCCAACAGGAAGAACTGAGGAAGTTCACCAGATAAAAATGGATAAAAATGGTAGAAAATGGCAAAGTCCAAGAGATACCTTCATTCAACAGTGGATCGAAGAAAAGTGATGATTATAGGGTATTATTGCAGCCTTGGATTGCAAAATCCTGTGCTTGATATTGGCCTGTCAACACACAAAAACCTGACTCTGTGCGTGATTTGGATTAAAACTGTTTCTTGTGGACCCATGATTCATCATTTTTGGATGGCTGGGATTTTTTCGATTTTTGAATGATATAATCTACCAGATAATGGATTAATGCGAAGTAGGAAATAAACGCGAAAAATCGTGAAATACGGTTCCTTTTGATTTTGACGATTGAGAGATTTTATTGACTGATTTGAGATTTTGACGGTATGCACATTCAGTTTTGGTACATACGTCGAGAGAAACATGAATACCTTCTGCATACACTAGAGACGAAGGGTTCGCATAACCTTAGACATTGAACAAGTTTCACATTCTATTTTCAACTAATCCCTCATCTTCGCTTGCTGCAAAGCGAAGGAGGCGATCCACCTTGTTACGTTATATGCGCTACCATAGCTGACTTGAGTAGTTCAGTACGGTGAGAATTTGCGATTGTTCGCTAGAGACGTACAACTTAAGAAGAAGTCGTGGAGGAGGACAAAGAAATTACGCACAGATCAGGTCACCCTGTCAGATTTACTGGTTGGCACATCCGTTGATATGGCCACATGCAATCTGTCGAAGCAACTAATTCAGTTGTCTTCAATATGTTAATGACTTGTTTTCGCTGATAAGCTAACAACGCCATGTTCTTCATACAAAATTCCGATACTACACCAAATTCTGAATTTTGATACTCATACTAATTTATGAAGCATAGGCAAAAACATACGTATTTCAAAAGCAGTGGCATCAGTATCCATAGGAGTGTTGCTATGACTGACAGGATTCTGTTGCGCAGGTGATACGAAAGCAGGTTAGCCATTACGACGGTGAATCCATTGTCCAGAATTACTGTTTAGTAGATTCTGATATCTGAATATTCTCAACGGATTTCATTCTGCGTAGTGCAGAGTTTACAACGCTCGCAATAGCTCAAAGTACATGGCGACAAGAGCTTTACTTACAACACTGAACTATTTTAGAGCGTGAAACGCATCCAACTGTGTTGATTAGCAGTTACGATATTTCTAAAGAAGCTGAAACTGAACAGTTGATCGTTGTCAACGGAACAACAACCAGAACGCCGAGTCGGAAATTGCTCGTACTTGTGCACGAACCCGTGACGTTTGCAAATGAGGCGCTGAACAGGTCCAAAGAAACAAGTCGAGAGCCGGAGTCAGGCGATGAACCTGCCACGACTTTGTCAACTTCTAAGCACGAAGTTCAGACGGTGGCTAGAGAAACGACGACAAACACCGTCATGGTATCTCCGACATACATTGTTCATACAGCGGCAACCCCGTCGGTCAACGAAACTGCTTCGTACGTGACGCGAAATATCACGAAGTTGGACGTGTCTGAAACTGTGCATTACGATAGAAATGTTGAAGAAGAACCAGGCAGCGAAGGTTATCTGGCTAAGAGTACTTCTACAGCTAGTTCAACGCGGTATTCTCATTTAACAGCGAAACCACTGACTGCATCTCTACATACAACGAATTTTTCAACTGCCCCAGATGTCAGCTCCAGAATATTGACGAAATTTTTGTCAACTTCAACTGTGGCTGCCACACTCGCACAGCGCTCTAGCTCAGTCACTTCTGTTCAAGGAAAAGCTTTAGAAAAGCATACGCCAATAGCCGAAACGGTGACCCGACAGCTTTCCATGATCTCCAGCTCGCCTCACATTGAAAAAACTAGCCAAGGACAAGCGAACACAACTGAAGCAAAGGATCTATCTTATTCTCTGGCAAACAAAACCACGAATGCAATCAGAATAACACCGAGTAATGATTCGGCGTCAGATGATTATCTGTTGAGAGAAGAGGTGGAGGTGGACCTGCATTTCAATAACGCTAGCGATGTTTTCGAAATAGTGTTGGAGAAGAAGCCGTCTCCAATGATAGTCGATAACGTTACCAGTTCATCAGTCTTTAGTACCACTCTCATCGATGAATATAACCAAACGGACAGTGCGAAAGCCCCCTTGTTGAACGCTACTTCGGTAGAAGTTGCATTCAGAAACTCTGAAACAGTGACCACGCGCCAGACAGATATGACCATGTCTCAGCACACGAGACCAATAGAGAGCATTTCACCACCGATAGGAAAGCTGCCTCTCTGTTCAGAAAATATCACGTACGAGATCAAGCAGCCGGATGCACTGTCGAAGGTGACATATTCGAAAGAGTTGCAAGCAAGGTCAATTCACCACTGCGCCGAGTTGTGCTATGAAAACCGGTGCCTTTCAGCGGCTTTTCTTGAGCCGGCAGTGGCTGATGAGACCGGGACATGTCTATTGTCGTTCAAGGAAGAGTTCTGTTCCCGTAACCCCGAGAGACACACAAATTATGACGGAGTCCCGCCAGTTGAAATCCACTGTCTGAAATGCGGTAAGTTGCTGTTCAGCGTTTTAAGGTCAGTTTTCGTCTTGTTTTGCCACGCACTGCTGTTTAGGACAATTCATGGTCGACGATAGGCCAAATGTAATTACGAAAGATGAACATGTAATCGGATTTAAATTGGAAGAATATAAACAGAAACGGAAGTTCGCTGGTAAATATCACTATCACAGCACTCTGTTTTAATTCTTGGATGACTTGCACCAATTTCGCCTTACGCACTCATTCTCGTGCAAATAGCATGCATGCCAGACACCGGTTTATAGCCTGATCGCACTGCCT